TTTGGGGGAAAAGAGTGACATTTACATTAAAGTAATGTGGTCAGCAGCTTGACCTGAGGATGTGTTTGTGGAACAGATCTATGCCAGTATATTTTGGCACCCCCTGGTGGGCAGTGAAATGTTTTATGATACATTTTAACACCTTCAGAATATTCAAGATGTTTATTTCTGAATATTCCTGAGAAGAAAATCTGGGGGAATGTGAATTCCTCCTTTCATAAACCTGATTTTCATTGGAAAAGAAAATGTTTTGATGAAGAGCATGTTTCTATTGACTTTTCAAAGAGGATAATAAACTATTTCTCTTGATTTCTTAAATATTTCATCTTTCCCCCACTTACTTTGCAGTGGAAGATGGAACACCAGATACACTAGTAAGAATAGTTTATAATATCTAACATTTATAATGTGCTTTAAGGTTTGCCAAAAACTTTACATATCTCATTTGATCCTCACAATTCTGTAAAGAAGGGGCATCTATGATCAGACTGAGAGGACACTGAGGCTGAGAGATTAACTGATTTACCCAAGGTCACATAGCTTGTGTCTGAGGCAGGTTTTGAACTAGCCTTCCTGACTCAAAGTCCAGCATTATCTCCATTGTTCTACTTAGTTAACTATACCTCCAAAAGTTATATACACACAAGTAAAACTCTTGCCTCCAAAATCTATACAACCTATAGCTTCACATCTAGATTTTTAGCAGTAGTTGTTACTTTTCTTTGACACACTTAACCAATCAAAAGCTTCATATGTTGACATTAGTATTAATTGTGTGTGTGTGTGTAATATTTATTCATTCCAGTGAGAGTAATTAGCTTTGTTTACCTGTAAACTCACACTATCAATAAGTCTCTGGATGTATCTTAAAATTAGCATTACTAATTTGTAATGTATATTTCTGGACTGATTAACACAGTAACAGCACATATTGCCAAGTAGACAAGTAATTGATTCAGTTTTCATGAGGACCTCAAATAGAAGAAAACTACTCTTGGGTCACAGAGGTTATATTATAAACAGGTGTATTCTGGCCAAAGGGAGAACTTGTTGAGAGTCTTTAAGCAAATTCATCACCATTATTAAGGAGAAAACACCCATAAATTAAAGCTCATGTTTTGTTGAGTGTTGGAAAATTATTTCTCCAGAAAACATGAGACATTTTCCTCTTGACCTATTTTAATTTTTTTTTTTTTTGATCAGCCCTGTTATCTACCTTGGGAAGTGGGGGATGGGAGTGGACAGAGAACTCTTCCACCAGTTTAGGTCAGCCTGGGACTTGCTTAGTAAATTTTAGTCTGGAGGAGTTGCCTAGATTGCATCGAGAGGCTATGTGACTTGTCCAGGGTCACACAACCAGATATGTACCAGAGGCCACTTGCACTCAGGAAAGCTGACTCTCTCAACTCCATCCACTGTGGTGCATTTCCACAGGCTCTATCCACTATACCATAGTCCATTTCCAATTATTGTCTTAATAATATCAATACACATAGAGTCTACACTACATTTTTGTTGCTATTTTAAATATGTATTAACATGAGGTGAGGCTGTTTAGTGGATTGATAGTTGGCGTGGTAGTCAGAAAGATCTGAGTTCAAGTCCCATCTCTGACCTATACTGACTATGTGACCCTAGGGACGTCCTTATCCTCCCAGTGCTCTAGCAACTTTCTAAGCCTATAAATTGCAAGAAGGTGCTGACCTGCATAAGTAGAGGAAGTAATCTCAAAGGGAAACTCAATAAACCAGTAAAATCACAAATACATTCACTATCTCTTGTAATATGTATATTCTTCTTCTGTCACCAGATCAATTAAAAGATATTATTTCACTAATGAGAGGCAATGTGTTGGACTAGAGTGCTGGTCTCTGAGCCAGAAAAGCTTTAAATCTTACCTCTAATACAATATCTGTGTGATCATAAACAAATAGCTTAATCTCTGAGCCTAAGGGCATTTTTTCCCCCTAAGACTTATGTAGATGAGATATAGACTAGTTGGATGAAATCATAGATCTTTGAGTTTGACAACACCGGGGCCCTTCATGCTCCAAAAGTGCTTTATTGTCTAGTTTATAAAATCCCACTAACTCAGATTCTTCCTGTCCTGGGCGGGATGGGGGAGTTTGAGGTGTGGGGAGGAAGGGAAGTCAGACTTAAAATAAAGCCATTCCACCAAAATTCACTTAGAAGAAGGGTCTCTGTAGTTTTATTCATCTGTTATCTCATTTCTATGCAGCTTCACGTTAGGCGGAAATGGTTCACTTTAAAAACACCTAAAAAAATTTTTTTAAAGGGGGGAGTATTAAATACACGCCAAAATTTTAGTTGGTTACGAAATTTTTTTAAAGTTCCATGAAGTAGATTATGAAACTACTGAGCACTCCTCAGGGGACTGAATTAACCAGTAGCTTTACTTGACAGGAAACAGGTGTCCATGTCAGGATCTCGATGTTCTAACTGGGGGGTCTCAGTGCAAAGTCCTAGAAGAAGATAGCCGAGTTCTTCATTCACAGATGAAGTCTGAGGAGTAAAACGGTTTGGGGTTAAGAGGAAGTGTTGGGGTTTTTTTTTTTGTTTGTTTTTTGGGTTTTTTTTTCTTTTTCTTTTTAAGTTAAGTGCAGAAAAGAACGAGCCCACAGAATTTAAGCGCATACAGGAGTCATTTTAAGTTTCTGACATATCACTCCCAAGTTTCCTATACAGGTCCTGAAATGGGGGTCTAAATATGGGAAAATGCTTCCGCTATAATATTAGGACACCAGCATTGTGCACCGCCACCCCTACCTCCATTTCCTTCTACATCTACCTTCAATATCAGGGCACTAGTCAGTTTCCTGAGCACCTCCTCGGCGTGTGGGTGTTCTGTATTTTAGAGGAAAAAGTGTCTCTGAGTGTTGGTGTTCAGCGGAGTCACGTGGCATCCCTGCCACCCGAACTGTGCTGCTCTGAGAGTGTGATGTGGGGTTGGAGCTAAGAGGCTGCGGAAAGAGGAGGGCTGAGGGAAAAACCTGAGTTGAGAGACTCAGGACTGGAGACAAAAGTACCCAATGCTGGGTCAGTCTTCATTCCGGGCTTTGTCACAGCGGCCCCAACAATACATAAGACAAGAGGTAAAGGGAAGCTCTACCCCACTGGGCAAGCCGGCATGGCTGGAGTGGGTCTGTGCAGCTGAGTGTGTATTGACGCTTGTCTCATCGGAGGCAAGGGGACAGAGTGCAGAATTGTGCCTCTAGCTTCTCTAACCTTTACATTTTTGGAGGAGACATAGCTATCTTAGAGCTAGAGAACGCTCTCTCTGCCCTCCCCTCCCCATTCCATTGGAACCGAGAGTCTCCTGTCAGCTTCACTTGGAGATTATTTTTCTTGCAGTTGGAGGAAGTTCCCAAGACTGAGGAAGAAGACTTTCCTTTGGTACAGCTTCTATACTGTTCGTAATGGTATATATGTGTATATTAGAGGAAAGACTATAGATAAACTCGTTCTCAAAGCTGCTCTCAGAACCTGAAGGGCGGGGGAGTTCTGGGAACAGAGAAAAGGAGGATCTCCGCGCAACCTGGAGAGTGGGGGAGGGATTTCGGAGTCTAAGTGAATGCGTACGGGGCGATCCAGTAAATCCCTCCTTGCAACATGTTTCTCAATGTATAAATAGTTCAACAATACACAGACTGGGGGAGGGGGAGAATCCAAGAAGCTAGAGCCTCATCTGCAGAGAAGAGAAAGTGCGTGTTCTCCTAAATCTCCCAGATCTTTCTCCCAGACCCAGGAGCCTCGGCTGCTGCTGCCGCCACTGCCGACTTGGCAGGCTTTTAGGACTTTCTGAGACTTAAATGGAAATTTCTTGACGTGAGAAACCTGGGTTCTGGTGACCAGGAGCTCTTATCTTCGTTGTCATTGCCAGAGGTTCTTCATCTCCGACGGGACCACTTTGGAGTTTTCCTCCCCCGCCCAGTCTGAGATGGATGGATAGTTTCTTGCCCGGCTGTGTGGTTTTCTTTTTAGCTACAAAGTAACAACGTACCAGGGCTTAGAGAAACAGCGCAGGGGAGATGCCGGGTGGATGTGCGCTCTGTACCGCGCTTGGTTTTGCGTAGCTTCCTCTCTTTCTTTTTGAAAAGCTTAGGGGCGGAGGGCGGCGGGGAGCTAGCTCTATGGGCTTCGAGGGGAATCCCACATTTGGACAGCAGCCCTTCTCGCATCAACCTTTCCTTTATTTCTCACCAGTAGCTCCAGGTCTGTGCTCAGTACCTGAGTAGGCTGGCCTGGGGTAGGGCAGGGCAGGGCTTTTCACGCTCAAGCCTTTATCCTAAAGATGGACATATCCGGCTGCGCTGCGTAGCCAGCAGAAGCACGTCGAGCACACGGACCTTTACTGTTGCCTAGTTCCCTAGCTTGAGGCACAGAGCGGCTGAGGGAGGCAGAAGACCTTCCCCATCAGCCTCCTGTTTGGTCCTGCCTCTGTCTCTTCTGGGAGCACCCACACAAATCAATCGAAGGAGCACACCACTGGGTACGGGGTCAACCTCCAGAGTCGAGTGCTTGGCCCAAGACCCAATCTAGGATAACTGGTGGGGACGCTACCGGGGTCAGTGTACTCTCCCGCTCGTCTGTGCGTGCCAGTTCCTGCATTTCGGGAGCCCTGGGTTTCTTCCCTCCCTCTCTGGAGGCAGTTAGGGGAGGCGACAGGATTATGAAAGAAAAGAAAAAAGCCCCAAATCCTCAAGAACCCTCAAAGTGACAGGCACAAAGACCAGGTCCAGACTGATCGTGTGTGGCCCCCCAGACCTGGGAGCGATTGACACTTTCTTCCTCTTCCTCCTTGGCTCGCCCTCCCTCCCCACCCCCTGACCCTAGGAGGTTTGTTGGCTGGCTGCTTCCCCGCCCCCAGGCCGCGGCGGTCGGGCAGGCGGGCAGCCGGGGGCTCCATCCACGCCGTCCCGCTCGCATGAGACCTTTTCCCCCGCCACTGGCGCCCCCCTCCCCGCGCCCGTGGTGATGCCATGCCCCGCAACCACGGGGGAGGAGATGAGGGCGGCTCCGCCGGGCTCTGGCTGAAGAGCAGCGCGGCGGCGGGCGGGGGGCGCCTGGCTACGGGTATGAAGGATGTGGAGGCGGGCCGGGGCCGCGTGCTCCTGAACTCGGCTGCCCGCGGGGACGGCTTGCTGCTGTTGGGCACCAGCGCCGGCGCGCTCGGCGGCGGCGGCGGCTTTAGAGAGAACCGCCGGGCGAAGCACGGAGCCCGGATGAGCCTGCTGGGGAAGCCGCTGGCTTACAACAGTAGCCAGAGCTGCCGGAGGAACGTCAAGTATCGGCGGCTGCAGAATTATCTGTACAACGTACTGGAGAGACCCCGAGGGTGGGCGTTCATCTACCACGCGTTCGTGTGAGTATCCCCCGAGGCATGCCGCCGCGGGCTGCGCTGCCAGCAGGCGGCGGGCGCGGGGAGCCTTGCAGTGCAGTGCCGTGCTGTGGGTGGCACCCGCGTCGTGCCTCCTCTGCACACACTACTGCTCCGGGAGTGCATGTGGCCATGTGCCCCGCGCCCTGGGAAGCGCGCTCTCCCCCTCCTGCTGCCCGCGCCTCCATCCAAGAACCCTGGACCTGTTTTTCTCACACCCTTACACATACACACACACACATACACACACACACACACACACACACTCACACTCACACACTCGCTTCCCCCTCACTCTGACCCTAGGTTCTTTATACTCCTGTACTTGCCCCGTTCTCATGCCAGGCAGTATTTGTGCTTCTCTTCTCAGCATCTGCTGGACAGGATGTGTGAGAGGCAGGTAGTGAGTAAGTCGGGGGTAGGAGGGTTTGGTGCTGCTAAAACGGAAACTCTTCAATAAGGTAGGGAACCAAGCCCAATGACCTGAAAGCTGGAGTTGGAGAGAGAAGGCTTGAGGGATTGCTGGGCAGTGAGAGAGAGGGCTAGAGGTGGGTGGAAGAGAGAGAGGAAGTGTCAGAGATGTAGGAAACAGAAGACTTAGAACCTCAGTAGTAATCATTCAAGCTCAATAAGGAAAAGCTGGTATTTAAGGGAGAAAAGCTGCTCGACTTTAGTCTAGCCCGGAAGCTGACTTCACCACCTCTCCAGGACAACAAATGTGTTGGGACATACAGCCTGTTAACTGGCAGAGAGAAGTTAGCCAAAGTTTGGGGAGAAGCTGCCTAATCGGAAATAATAATAATAATAATAACAATAATAATAATAAGACTAAAATTGGCCTTCTAGCTACTGTGACTGGGTGTAGTGGTGATGTTAGAACGTGGAATATGCGCAAGCCTTATAATAGAAGAGATCTGCGTTGGGGGGCTCAGTTTTCTCCAAATCTGATATTAATAAGATGCTTCCTGAAGTGGCATGAGCTGCTTCAGACGCTTGGGCAAGGGATCAGGCAGGAGTTGTTTCCAGCAGCACCATCCTGGCTCTAAGTCAATAAAAAGTGTGTGTGTTTAAGCAAAACCCTCACCAGCTAGCAGTGAATGCTTAATGAGAAAATGATTAGAAGCAAATGTTGACTTTTCCCTTAGGCATTTAAAACCTTCCACTGGTTTACTACTGTTTTCCCCACAAGGTCCATTCATCCTTTCAGTCCTTTTCCTACTGCAGTTTTGTGTATCTGGCCATTTTAATATTGCTGCAGAAAGCTCACCTTTCCTGCCTTTTCCCCACTTCCAAATGAAATTATAAATCAGTTTTACAAAGAGATGCTTGTAGAGAAAGTTATCAATGCATTGCTTATGCCCTCTTGAATCTTTCTTTGAAAGGTTGCTTGCCTGGATTTTTGTATGTACTGTCTAAGGGAAGTGCTTCCCAAATATTTTCATCCAAACATAGCTCTCACTATTATTGGGGCATTGGCATACTAGCCTGAAACATTTTTCCAATAAGAAGGTAGAAGCTGAATTAGTATGTGATTCATGAGTTTGACCAGGTGGAGCTCTGCACTCTGTGGGACTCTGGAGTGTGACAATTTTTTATAGTCCAAGATTGGACTAGACCCAAGTCTTGTTTAGCTTACCTCCACCAACTTCACTTGTTATCCTTTATACCTTCCAAGAAGAAAGTTGTTGCATCATAATTACAACAAAAAGCACAAGTGATCATTTCGAATGGTCTTTAAATTGCAATATATTCACATGTTTCTAGAAATGTTTTACTTTAAATAATGGACATATTAGTTGTGTTTTTGGTGTTCAACGTAAGTTGGTAAACACTTAATAACATTACAGATCCTAGTAAATTCATTGTATGTATTAGCATAATATTTAGCAGTAATACACTCTGAATATTCTGTAGTTGCTTCTTAATTAAAAAAAAACAATATTTTACAGGTTTATGAATTTCAAGGTAAACTATTGAATATGGGGAGAATATTTGCAACTGCTAAGATTATAATATGTCCATTGTATTTCTAAGTGTTGTCCTACATCATATTATCTCCTTTACAATAACTTTTTGAAGCTTCACTCTTATTTAAAGCAACCATTCATTCCCCATTAATTTCAAAATAGTTTTGTTAATTTTCTTAAAAACAATAATAGGTTCATCATGAATGAACCCAAAGATATCTTTTAGTGATAGCAATAGGTGGGAAAAGAACTCTGTAGACATCAGTATAGCTAGAATGAAGTTTTCCCTGTGCATTTTGAGAGTATGCTGCAGTTCCTAAGGAATTAGAAAGGGGTGCTAGATCCACACTAACAAAAAAAAAAAAAAAAAAAAAGAATTACTCTTTCTTTTCCCCTCCTATGGGAAAGTTGTGGGAAGCTTCAGAAGGTCCTATGCAAAAGTGTTATCTTGACCTTTACCAGTTATCAATTCAAATAGCCTGGAAGATAACAGATTTCTCAAAAAGCTAATGAAGGCATAGTTGGTTGGAACAGCACCTCTGATAATTTTATTAATAATAATGGACTTTGTAAGAAAATGATTTCTAGAAAAGTGTGACTAAATAATAACATGACCTGCCAGCCTGGGAATCCCCAAATCCTACTTTAATAACAGTTTTTGTAGCATGTATTTTGCCAAGAACAAGTATATGGTGATTAATGAGGTACTTTAGGGATAGATTTACTTAGCAGACCAACATTTTCACTGCCAAGAAACAAGGAAGGCACGTCTAAAGTTATGCTTTGTGTAGAGGAAGATTCCTATTAAGTAGGTATAAGTTGTTATTAAATCATTGTGATGGTATAAAAATAGCATCTACAGGTTCTTGTTAAGAAACATTAAAGCCAAGGACTCCTAGAGAATTCAAAAGACTCCGTAGTTCTTTTCCATTGGTGCACACTCTTGGGGAAATGAAGATGATGGAGAATGACTTGGGGGTAGATATAGTTAGTAGTGATGAGACTGAGTGAAGGAAATGGAGGAAATATTCAAATGTATGTTTTTTTATATTTGTTAGGTGCTGTTAAGGATGATTTTTTCTTGTATCTCTCAACTTTATTAAGGGATATCGATAGAAATTAGACCTGTGATTTCATTGGTAAAGCAAACTCCTGGGATGAGGAAACTCCCTCTACCAATGTTGGCTTGCACCTTCTGGGATACTAAATAACCTTAGTTGCCTAGCCCCAGAGCACTGAGAGGTCGTGACTTGTTCGTGGTCACACAGCCAGTATGTGTAAGGACAGAAGAACCCAGGTTTTTCTGCAGACTGATAGTAGCTCTTTTATCACTGTGTCACTTAACCACTGTTTTTTTTCTTTGTTTCTGTGTTTTGTTAAATAGCTGTCTACCTGGTATTTTAAAAGGCAGGTATATCTGCCTTTGGATCTCTCTGTCTTTTAGGGGAGTGATACAAATATGAAGTTATATATTTTTCTGAATGCTTTTCATCCCCTCCTCTTTTTCTTCTTATGCCTTTAAGAAGAAAGTTGTTAGTAAAAGAAAACATGAAGGTGACCCATACATATGTTTGTGTGTGGGTGTGGGTATGTTTGAAGAATTACAGGGGAAAAAAAATATGTTGTAGATACAGGTAAATCACCATTTGTTACTGTGTTAAACCTATATGCTATTGTATCTTAACTTAGATAGTTAGATTCTGATCCTATAATCTATGCTTTGGAGAAAACCAACCTGATTATAAGCTAAGGACAGAGAACTATCATAGTGAGTGTTATGTATTTTCTAAAGTCAATATGCATAGAAATGTTTGAGTTTCACAGGTTCTTAGGTTGAAGAGAAAGATCATTTCTTTATAGGGGAAAAAGTAGAAGGCTAGGAAACAGGATACCCAGGTCTAAACTCTACTGCCAATTTGATTTGTCACCTTGGGCAAGTACTTTACTCTCTTTGTGCTTTATTTTCCTCTTCTGAGAAATGAGACTAATAACATATAATGACATCAAAAAATATCCCATGTTTGGAACACTTTACTGTTTATAAACTACTTCAGTAGTCAGCTAGGTAGTACAGTGGATAGAGCACTGGACATGGAGTCAGGAAGACCTGAATTCAAATTCAGCCTCAGACACTTACTAGATGTGTGACTCTGGGTAAGTCAATTAACCTCTATTTGCCTCAGTTTCCTCAAATGTAAAATAAAGATAACAGTATCCACAGGTGGATAACAGTATCCACCTATGAGGATCAAATGAGATAATATTTGTAAAGTACTTAGCAAAGTGCCTGGCATAGATGTTCATTCCCTTCCCTGCATTATTATTCCAAATGTACAGATGAAAAATATAATACTCACTTGTACCATCACACAGATAGTTAAGTAGCTACTCCAGAATCAGTCCCAGGTCATCTAATTCCAAATCCTGAACTCTTTCTACCCAACCTTGCCTACTAACATCTATAAGAAAGGTAAAATGAGAAAGATATGTGTGTGTGTATATCATATATATGTATTATATATATATGAAAGTTCTTTGAAAAGTGTAAACTAGTACATAAACATGAGGTGTTATATGTGGCATAATCTGGGTTGTCTCTGCTCTCCCACTTTCTCTCATACATCCCAAAAGTAAGGTACCAGAGCTGTGTGCTTGATAAAGGTGTAGTTGATTGGTGCCTACTCTGGAGGGTGTGCTTAATTACCGACTTAATATATTATTAGTTATGTCGTTTCAAGATCATTTGCTTCTTTGGACATTTATTAATTTGCATTTTCAGTGAGCCAGCTAGCATTTATTAAGTGCTTACCACGTGCCAGGAACTGTGCTAAGTGCTAGATTTATAATATTTGCATTTTGTCAATTCTGTGCCCTTAGCAAAAATCACTTACCACCTTAATATTTAGAATGCCATTCTTTTTACTTTGTACATATAGTAATATGTATTATTTTACTTTATTTATTCATTTTGAACTTAAATACAAAAAGGCCAAAAAAACCCAACTCATTCTCATATAC